GCTGCAGCAACAACTGCATCACTGACTCCAGCGCCAACTTGCAACAACTGCATCACTAACTAGGCAGCGGCTGCTAGCAACAACTGCATCACTAACTCTAGCAGCGGCTGAGCAGCAAACTGCATCACTAACTCTAGCAGCGGCTGCAGAAACAACTGCATCACTAACTAGCAGCGGCTGCAGCAACAACTGCATCACTAACTAGCAGCGGCTGCAGCAACAACTGCATTCCTAACTAGCAGCGGCTGCAGCACACTGCATCACTAAACTCTAGCAGCGGCTGCAGAAACAACTGCATCACTAACTAGCAGCGGCTGCAGCAACAACTGCATCACTAACTAGCAGCGGCTGCAGCAGCAACTGCATCACTAACTCTAGCAGCGGCTGCAGAAACAACTGCATCACTAACTCCAGCGCCAACTTGCAACAACTGCATCACTAACTCCAGCGCCAACTTGCAGCAACTGCATCACTAACTCCAACGCCAACTTGCAGCAACTGCATCACTAACTCCAACGCCAACTTGCAACAACTGCATCACTAACTCCAGCGCCAACTTGCAGCAACTGCATCACTAACTCTAGCAGCGGCTGCAGTAACAACTGCATCACTAACTCCAGCGCCAAATTGCAACAACTGCATCACTAACTCCAGCGCCAAATGCAACAACTGCATCACTAACTCCAGCGCTATTGCAAACAACTGCATCACTAACTCCAGCGCCAACTTGCAGCAAACTGCATCACTAACTCTAGCAGCGGCTTGCAGTAACAACTGCATCACTAACTCCAGCGCCAAATTGCAACAACTGCATCACTAACTCCAGCGCCAAATTGCAACAACTGCATCACTAACTCTAGCAGCGGCTGCAGTAACAACTGCATCACTAACTCCAGCGCCAAATTGCAACAACTGCATCACTAACTCCAGCGCCAAATTGCAACAACTGCATCACTAACTCTGCAGCGGTGCAGTAAAACAACTGCATCACTAACTCCAGCGCCAATTGCAACAACTGCATCACTAACTCCAGCGCCAACTTGCAGCAACTGCATCACTAACTCCTAGCGCTACTGCAAACAACTGCATCACTAACTCCAGCGCCAACTTGCAACAACTGCATCACTAACTCCTAGCGCGGCTGCAGTAACAAACTGCATCACTAACTCCAGCGCCAAATTGCAACAACTGCATCACTAAACTCCAGCGCCAAATTGCAACAACTGCATCACTAACTCCACGCCAAATTGCAACAACTGCATCACTAACTCCAGCGCAACTTGCAACAACTGTGCATCACTAACTCTAGCAGCGGCTGCAGTAACAACTGCATCACTAACTCCAACGCCAGCTTGCAACAACTGCATCACTAACTCTAGCAGCGGCTGCAGTAACAACTGCATCACTAACTCCAGGAGCGGCTGCAGGAAGCAAGAGTCAAGCAGAGAAGTAAATTATTTGCTATAAATGCAACTCAGGCAGATGGAGCACATGATATATTCATGATGCAAAAACAGATGGTTCAGCAATCCCAATTTCAGGAAAGGATGTTTATGTTCCTCCTCGAGCACCATTAGCCTCAACGTGTAGCGGGCCTTGGAAATGGTCAAATAACCCATGTCACCAAGTAATCTCTTGAATTTTATTGCTTGGAATACAGTTTTCTAAAACGCAAGGCAACTCTTAACATCTTCACTCTGAGGATGTTGACGTCTGCTGTCTCCAGGAAGTCAGAACTATTGTTCTCTATGCAATAATGCAGGTTGAATATATTTTAACAGATAATTAGTGCTTAGTGATTTCTAGCATAGACAATAGTCTTTGGATTAGTGTTATTTGAGTAATACAAACTATTACACATCTCTAAGTAAAAGCACAGCCAGTTAGATAGATGCTTTGGCATCATACCTGGCTTTTTGGAGGATCTGTTCTGTTCTACGAATACATATTTATTAATTAGATCAGACCAATCTCCCTTCCCCCCTCCCCTTACTTCCTCATCCCCTCCTTTCCCCTTTCCCCCTTCCTCCCTCCTCACCCCCTCCTTGTCCATTTTTCCCCCTTCCATTGCATATGCATAAACAGCGTGTATGGTCACCGCTTGCCTTCCCTCCGTCCCCTCCCTTCCCCTTTCCCTTCCCTTGCGTGTTCTTAAGCTACAGACCCTGGGTGCCGTGAGCGCGCGTCGTAAAGGTGTGATTTACTACGTTGTTTATAGCTGGTTGTATATCAGTGCGATTGACAGCATGTGCATACAGTGTGGCGTGTGTATTATGCGTGTGCGGGGCGACACGGTGAGTGGCGATGTGTCGTGAGCGGGAACGGTTACAACCTTGGGGTCACACGCACCCACCCCACCTGGACACCCCCTGGCGTCCACACACTCATTCATGCACGGGCGGGTGGCGACATGTTCACAATTGCACATGCTCAGCTTTTGAACGCTAGAAGAAACCAGTTATTTTTCTTCGCTGTCTAGTCGAAGGCGGATAATGCTTAA